GTACAGCTCTTGATCCATTCGTCGGAGCAGGAGCACACGGCGCACACACAGCTGCTGAGGAGCAATCGCTGGCAGAGACGCCAACCAGCCACAAGTAAATTGATCCAAGCTCATGTACCTCAGCAGTGCCCGAGCTGGCCCTTGGTGCCACTGAATAGCCGAGCGCACGGCCGGCTGGGGGACGGAGCCCCCGACTGTCCCACACCTGGCACCAAAGAAAACGTGTAAGAATAGTTTAACAAGAGCAGGGTAAGGGGTGACTTGGTCACAGCCTATAATTACCTACATGGGGCACAAATAGTTAAGAATGGGGTCTTCAGTCTAGCGGAGAAGGTCTAAGAGGCTCCAACAGCTGGAAGTTGAAGCTAGACGAATTCAGACGGGAAGGAAGGTGTAAATATTTAACAGTGAGAGTCATTAGCCAGGAGGTGGATGGAGAAGATCACCTGGTCTTGTATGTTAGCCAGAAATCATTCCCACGGGAGAAGAACTATGCGGTGGTAGAGGAGGTCCTTGCGGTAAAGTGGGCTTGTGATGCCTTGCGTTACTATGTCCTCGGAGCCCCATTCACGCTGGTCACTGACCACGCCTCGCTCCAGTGGCTGGCCAGAATGAAACATCATAATATGAGGATAATGCGCTGGTACTTGGCACTACAACCCTATGCTTTTACGGTTCGCCATAGGGTGGGGAAGGACCAGGCAAATGCAGATTTTTGGTCCTGCCTGGGAGGTGTGGAAGGGTCTGGCCCCCACGAGCGGGAGCCAGACGTAAGGGGTGTGTGTGTGTAGCGAGGCAGTGTGGTTCCCCACCATCCCAGGGAGGGACGAGCCTCTCCAGATACCAAAGTGGGCGGAGCCAGTGAACCCTGCACCAGCCCCGCAGAGGTCAAGGCGCACGACAGGAAGTATAAAAGCCCAACCCCACAGCTCATTAGAGACGTGGCTGCTGCTGGAGGTGCCAGATGCCTGTTGTCATGGAGTGTGGGGGAGTCAGGGCCCTGCACCCCTCTTCCTGAGATTCACCGTGACTCTCAGCCAGCCAGTAAAACAGAAGGTTTATTAGATGACAGGAACACAGTCCCAAGCAGAGCGTGTAGGTACAACCAGAACCCCTCAATCAAGTCCTTCTGGGGGGTTTAGGGAGCTTAGACCCCAGCTTGGGGTTCCCTGCATTTTACCACCCAGCCCCAAACTGACAACAAAACCTCCTCCAGCGGCTCTCTTCCTCCTCCCCCCAGCTCCTCCTCTTCTTTGTTCAGTCTCCCGGCCAGAAGGTGTTATTTCTCCCAACCCCCTCCTGGCTCAGGTTACAGATCAGGTAGCTTCCTTCAAGGGAAGTCCCCCATCCCCACTGCAACCCCCCTGCAACATTCCCAGGTCAAATCCACCCCGCTCCCTGCTCCCTCACACCTGTGGCTTAGCTCCCAGTTGGGAGGCCCCAGCAATTGGCGGCTGACCCGAAAACTGGCCAGACCAGCCGATGCCTGATGCCGACCAGAGCCCGGAGAAGCAGTCAAGCCTGCCCTTCACAAATTACCCAGAGGAGCTGTCAAGCTTATTGCTCACCAGTTGCCCTGAGGAACCCATGGTGCTTGACCCCTTGGGAGACACCGTCTGGATGCAGATACCTCTGCGGGGGAGTCAGGAAGTAGCCCGGGGGCAGCTGACCCTCGTCCGGCTGCAGCACTGCCAGAGCCAATGTCACTGTGTTGTGGTCAGGATCCCCAGAGACAGCAGCAGGTCCTCTTCCACTGCTAGGGTCCTGGGCTGGGACACAGTGGAGTGGGTGGCCCTGCGTCCCCGCTGCCACCCGTGTGGGTGGCCGTCTCCCGCTCTTGCAGGCCCTTGGAACCAGGGCTGGGGCCTATTGCTTAACTGTTTGCTCAACCCCGCCTGAGCCACTGACCCTTTGCTGTCCCACCCTGACCCAGGGCAAGGGCCCGCTCGTTATATAGCAGCTACTCAGCTCCGAGGACCGGCGCGCGGGACTCGCTACTGCCCGCCAACCGGACGTAATCCTTTGTTGTGCCTCTATCGCGGGCCATGAGACCCCGTGGCCAGACTAGTTCCCCCACCCAAATGAACGGACGTAGCGAGGCGGTGTGCTTCCCTGCCGCCCTGGGGAGGGACGAGCCCTAGCCGAACCCTTCTACAGCTGTCTACACTACCACTTCTATCAGTATAAGGTACGTTGCTCAGAGGTGTGAATAAGCCACCTCCCTGAGCTAAATCATTTACAACGACATAAACACCGGTGTGGGCAACCTCTCCTGCCAACGTCGTGATCACTGCTCATTGGGGGTGTATTAATCAAGCTGACAGGAGGGCTCTCTCCGGTTGGCTTCGAGTGGCTAGAGCTGCACTGCTGTAAGCTCTCTAGTGTAGCAACAGCCTAAGTGGTTTCAAGACAGCTTGATGGAGGGGAGGGCATGAGACGGCCTGCAATGGCATGTAGTCGATCTGCGACTGCTACCAGCAAATATCTCCAATGGCCAGAGATGGGACACTAGATGGGGAGAGCTCTGAGTTACTACAGAGAATTTTTTCCCAAGTGTCTGGCTGGTGGGTCTTGCCCACATACTCAGGGTCTAACTGATGGGCATATTTGGGGTCGGGAAGGAATTCTCCCCTGGGTCAAATTGGCAGAGGTTTTTTTTGTCTCTCTGCCACATTGGGGCACGGGGTCACTTGCTGGTTTGAACTAGCCAGAGTCAATGGTGGATTCTCTGTCACTTGACTGGAGGACTTTGGTAACTCAGCCAGAGGTCCTGGGTCTATTACAGGAGGAGCGAGTGAGGCTCTCTGGCCTGCGAGGTGCAGGAAGTCAGACAAGATGATCACGATGGTCCCTTCTGGCCTTAAAGTCCAGGAGTCATCTGACCAGGATAAATGTAGCTCAGTGGGGAGGGCTGGATTCATATCCCAGCACCTGCCTGGTCCCTGCGGGGGGGCCGCACTTTGACAGCCCAGCTCGCCGCACTCAGGGATTTGATGGCACTTTGGAGAATCAATCCTTAATCAGAAAGGTCCACTTAGCCATCACTGGGGGAGCTACGGCCCTTGCTGAGCTCCCTGTCCCTGGGCAAACTGGGCCTGACTAGCCCCAGACAGGAATTGAATGCACAGCCCTTGGCAGTCGACTTCAGGGCCTCTTGCCTGCTCCCCTAGCCCCCTTGTGGCCAGACTGGGCACCCCCCCAGAAGGAAGCACCAGCACTCCCAAGCGGAGTGAAGCAGCATTGCTGAGAGTGAGGGCACGGCTCCCTACAGGCCAGCAGACGCCAGCCACCAGCTCAGGCTGGCCCCTTGGGGGAGGTCAGCCTGGTGGAACAGTGCCAGGGCCTGAGCCCGCAGTACCCACCACTCCCCTCCCCCCACAGCACCCCCTCCTGCCCCTGCCGACACAGCAATTCCAGATGCTCGCAGGTTGCAGGTGAATTTTAGAGACTTGGACACATCAGTTGGTAACAGGCAGCCCCGCTCCCCTTGCCCCTCCCTCTCTGCAGCGCAACTGGGGGAGCTGCCCCCCCCCGCCACAGGCCCTGCCTCAGGAGCTGCCCCCACCTCACACAGGTAGCAGGAGGAGAAGGAACCTCTCCCGTCACTTGTCCCCAGCCAGGGCGGCCTGGGGCTAGAGCTTAGGGCCAGTCCCCTCCCCCTAAGTCAGCACAATTAGAGGGTGGGGTTCCCAAGGCCCACGGCCCCCCCCTCTTGTGCTGTGAAGGGCTCAACTCAGCGCCAAGTGCCCAGCTGGGCGACAGCGCTGCAGCCACAGTCTGGGGGCAGTGCCAGGCTGAGAACTGCTTGCTGGACATTAGGAGAGTGGGGATAACCCCATGGGGGATCAGCAGTGACCTGCAGATAAACCAGCTACAAGGCACCAAACCCAGCTCACACACCCATGTAACGGGCTGCAGGGTGCCCAAGGGCAGCACTAATGTGGAAGCGGTGGAGGGGGCATGGCAGCGGCTCTGGGCTCCTTGGCCTGGCTCAGGCGGGGAGGGCAGAGCCCATGGATAAATATCAGTTTATTGGCTACAGAGCATGGGAAGCGAGGACGAGGAGCACGGGGGCGCCAAGCACAGACGGACAGACAGACGGATGCTGCCAGCTCACTCCAGCCCAGGCCCTGGGACGGTCGGCACAGCCCCCTCTGGCAGCACCCTGCTGCTCCCCGGGCCTGGCACAGCCGCTACTGGGAGAAGATGCCCTTGAAGCGGATCTTGTCCTCATTGTCCTTCTGGCGCAGGCGCGTCTCCAGGCTGCGCAGCTCCTTGGCCACCACGGGGCCCAGTGACGGGTCCAGTGCCAGCACCTTGGCAAAGTCGGCCTGGGCCTCGGCCGTATTCCACACGGCGGCATGCGCCTTCCCCCGCTTGAAATAGGCCTTGACGTTGTCTGTGGGGAGAGAGCACGGGGCGGTGCCCCTCAGCCCCGACTCTCAACCCCCTGCTATCCCAGCCCTGGGCTCCCCTCCCCGCCTACAGCCCTACCAGTGCCCCTCAGCCCCGACTCTCAACCCCCTGCTATCCCAGCCCTGGGCTCCCCTCCCGCCCCACAGCCCTACCGGTGTCCCCTCAGCCCCGACTCTCAACCCCCTGCTATCCCAGCACTGAGCTCCCCCCCACAGCACTGCCAGTGCTCCTCAAACCCGACTCACAACCCCCTGCTATCCCAGTCCTGGGCCACACACAGCCCTGTCAGTGCCCCTCAGCCCCGACTCACAACCCCCTGCTAGCCCAGCCCTGGGCTCCCCCACACAGCCCTGTCAGTGCCCCTCAGACCCGACTCTCAGCCCTCTGCTAGCCCAGCCCTGGGCTCCCCCACACACAGCCCTGTCAGTGCCCCTCAGACCTGACTCTCAGCCCCCTGCTATCCTAGCCCTGGACTCCCCTCCTCTCAGCTCTGTCGGTGCCCCTCAGACCCAACCTGCAGCTCCTGCTAGCCCAGCCCTGGGCTCCCGCCCACAGCCCTACTGGTGCCCCAAAGTCCCGACCTGCAGCCGCTGCTGTCCCAGCCGTGTCCCGCACAGCTCCTCACCTTCGTACTTATTGAGGATGGAGGAGCAGTGGTCCAGCACCTCGTAGTATTCGTGGCACAGCAGCTTGCACTGGCAGTAGTTCAGCAGCAAGGGGGTGATCTTCTGGTCCAGCTGGATCCAGTCTGGGGAGCCCGGCTGCTCCTGCAAGGGGGGAGGGGAATGAGGAGCAGGCACAGGGGGGAGGGGGGAAGGCAGGGGAGACCTGGGGCTGGATCCTGGCAAATCAGTGGGCTTGGTGCGGCCACTAAGGCAGAGGCGCCTGCGGTTGGGGATTGTGGAAATATTGTCATGCACTATGTGCGTGACTCAGTTTCCCCGCCCACTCCGCAATGGGGGTGAAAGGGTTAATTCCTCCTTTAGGACGGGGTGGCTGGGAGTCACGTGACCAGCGGTAGGCCTCAGCCAGAGCCCCTGCACTACCAACTGCAGAGCCAAGGGCCGGCCCAGAGAGGGGACAGACCCAGCAGGAGGCCGGGCTAGGAACCAGGCTCAGAGACATGGGGCAGCGAGCATCCGACAGACACCAGGAGGGCCCTTGACATAGGGGCTGCAGTTTCTGCCCATCTGGATGTGACGTAGGCCTGGCTGCCCCAAGGCATGACCGGGCGGCCCCGGCTGCAGGTGCGCCCTGGGGCATCGCTCCCTGGAGGCAGAGCAGGCTGATCTCAGCAGGACTTGGTGCCGGAGCTCATGGGGAAATGGGACTGGAGACGAAAGCCCCATCCCTGAGCTGCAGAGGGCTCGGTGCTAACGGGGGCTCTCCCAGGAGAGCGTGTGGAAGGAGGCATGCCAGGCCCCTTGGGGGCAGGTGGGTGGGAGTGGCCTGGAGCAGCCGCTGAGCCAGCTCCCCGCACCCCCCGTGGTCGGGGTCAGCATCTGGGGACGTGGTGCCCGGTTGGGGCATCGCTCACCTTCATCTGCAGGTTCTTCAGGCAGGCGATGGCATCGTAGTACTTGGCGGCTGCCTCGGTCACCTTGCCCTGGCGATAGAGCTCGTTGCCCTCCTCGTGGATCAGCGGAACAGCCTGCATCTTCTCCTCGTCCGTCATGGCCCACGGGTCCTGCCGGTACGAGCCGGGCGCCTCCACCTGCAAGATTGTGTCAGTGGAGGAGAGCCTGGTCCCGCCCCAGCCCCGGGTACCACGCCCATCCAGAGAGAGCCCGGCCCCGCCCCAGCCCCGGGTACCACGCCCATCCAAAGAGAGCCCAGCCCCAGGGTACCACACCCATCCAGAGAAAGCCCAGGCACCTCGTCCATCACCCCACCTCCATCCCCTGGACCCATCCCCAGGCACACCTGGCAAGGGAAGAGCCCCAGCCCAGTCCAGCCCCTGGCACCACTCCCCAATTCTACCACCCCCTCCCCACAGCGTCCCCATCCCTCAGGGACCCCGTTTCCAGCTGGGGTCCCCCACCCCTCAGAGTCGCCCCATCCCCAGGTCAGGGTCCCCAGGTCCTCGTCACCTTCAGCATGTCGATGGCGAAGATCAGGGGCTGGGGGTTCTGCTGCAGGTCATCCAGGTCGGGGTAGCCCAGAGAGTGGTGCTCATGCATCTGGGCGATGCCACAGCAGTGCCGCTGCCCCTCCAGGGGGTCCTTTCCCGCCGCGATGTTCCGCAGGCTCTTCGCCACCAGCGGGTACAGCACCACATGCTGGGAGGACAGGGTATCAGCGGGGGAAAGGGGGGTCACACAGGAACCTGGGGCGCAGGCTGAATGCAGGAATTGGTGGTACTGACCCTGGGCACCTGCCCACTCCGTGTGGCCTCCTGCGAGGGAGGGATCATTCTCTTCCCTGGGGCCAGGAACTCAGGGCCGAGGTTCATCACTGTGCCAGCTGGGTTGGAACCAGACCCATTAATAACGATGGGCTGGAATCAACACCCACAAATGGAGGCGACCCAGCAGAGACACGGGAGCCCAGTAACTCCTAACCACCAGCCCAGGAAGGCGCCTGGCTGGGGCTGGGCACAGACGGGAGGAGCTGGGGCTGCGGGGAGGCATGCCTGATCTGCATTGCAAGGCTCTGCCAGCTACGAGAGCGAGAAAATCAACCAGCAGAGCTGCGCTGGCAGAACCCCCGGCGCAGACATGAGAGCCGCTGCCTGCAGAGCATGTGGTGTTTGGGAAGGTTGGGTCGCTGTGGTGGCAGATCTTCCCCTGCTGCCTTTCATCTGGCCAATGCGGTTAGACTGGTGCTCTACAGTACAGAGCCCTGGCCGGTCCGGCTATAATCGCTGCATGCTCGGGTCCCCCCCAGGGCTAAAAGCCTCCAACAGATCTCGGCTGGACTAGCTCCTGGTGAGTCTGAAGGCCGAGAACCCTTGAGGCCGTATGGCCTGCCCTTGTGGATGGCTCTGCCCAGAGCCTGGCGAAATCAAAGGCTGCTCCCCAGAGAGACTGTCTCAAGGCTGGGGTTACAGCACAGACAACAGAAATTCCTCATGGGGGGCCCTGGTGTCACACAGGAACTTGGCCTGCATCCCACCCCCCAGGAACAGTGCTCGGAGAGGGGATGCAGGGAGCTGTGGGGCCGGCAGGAGTAGGAGGATATCTTGGTGTCACACAGGAACTTGGTCTGTATCCCACCCCCCAGGAACAGTGCTCGGAGAGGGGATGCAGGGAGCTGTGGGGCCAGCAGGAGTAGGAGGATACCTTGGTGTCACACAGGAACTCAGCCTGCTCCCCGTCCCGCATGGTGCTCAGGATGGTCTCCCACACTGGCAGCTTGAATTTCTTGCCAATAATGAGCTCCATGGGCTTCCCGCGGGCACGGCTGTCATCCAGCACGCGGTGCTCCCCGTCGGACAGCATGGTGCGGTAGTGGAAAGTGGCCTGGGTAGGAGATCGAACGTGGATGAGGTTGTTCTACACCCCACCCAGCACAACAGGGCTCCACGGGCCAATGACTGCTCGCCGAGACCCACTGGCCGTGACGGGGCAGGGAGGCTCGTGTTGGAAGGTGTGTGCACTAGCACTGGGATTCTCAGCTGTCACTGACAACCCCCAGTGACGGTGTGACGAAGTGGGGATTTTCCCTTGTTATGTTGTATGTGAGCCTATGTGAGTGTCATAACTATAAAGGGAAGGGTAACAGCCCTCCTGTGTACAATGCTACAAAATCCCTCCTGGCCAGAGACACCAAAATCCTTTTACCTGTAAAGGGTTAAGAAGCTCAGGTAACCTGGCTAACACCTGACCCAAAGGACCAATAAAGGGACAAGATACTTTCAAATCTTGGTGGGGGGAAGGCTTGTGTTTGTGTTCTTTGTTTTGGTGTGTTCGCTCTTGGGACTAAGAGGGACCAGACATCAATTCATGCTCTCCAAATCTTCCTGAACAAGTCTCTCATATTTCAAACTTGTAAGTAACAGCCAGGCAAGGCGTGTTAGGTTTGTCTTTGTTTTCTCAACTTGTAAATGTTCCTTTTGCTAGAGGGTTTACCTCTGTTTGCTGTAACTTTGAACTTAAGGCTAGAGGTGGTCCTCTGAGCTCTTTGAATCTGATTACCCTGTAAAGTTATTTTCCATCCTGATTTTACAGAGATGATTTTTACCTTTTTTCTTTAACTAAAAGCCTTCTTTTTAAGAACCTGATTGATTTTTCTTTGTGTTAAGATCCAAGGGGAGTGGATCTGGACTCACCAGGAATTGGTGGGGGAAAGGAGGGGAGATGGTTAAATTCTCCTTGTGTTAAGATCCAAGGGTTTGGATCAGTGTTCACCAGGAAATTGGTGAAGTCGTCTCTCAAGGCTACCCAGGGAAGGGAGTTAGTACTTGGGAGCAGTGGCAGCAGACCAGATCTAAGCTGGTAGTTAAGCTTAGAGGTTCTCATGCAGGTCCCCACATCTGTACCCTAAAGTTCAGAGTGGGGAAGGAACCTTGACAGTGAGTCTTACTGTTTTGCATGAATGCTGTGTGTGCCTCAGTTTCCTGGTGTATTGCACCAATGGCTAGGTGGTGGGAATAAGGGGGTGTGACTTTTGAGGGGGCTGCTCCAGCTGCCTGAACCGATGCTATAGCCACCCCTTCGTAACCTGAGACCCAGGATTGGGATGTGACCAGGTGACTCTTGGCCCAGGAAGCAAGACAAAGGTCAGAGGAGAAGTAAGGGGCAGGGCAGGGGCCAGGCAGCTGGAAGTGAGTAGGTCTCGGCTGGCTTGGGGCGCAGAGGGAGGGCGAGAGCCCTGGCTCTGGGCTCCCATCCCCGCAAGATGGACTTGGCTGAAAGTCACTGATTTCTGTGCTACGCTGTGTTCCTGTCGCCTAATAAACCTTCTGTTTTACCGGCTGGCTGAGAGTCACGTCTGACTGCGGCGTTGGGGTGCAGGGTGCCCTCTGGCTTCCCCAGGAGCCCCGCCTGTGCGGACTCCTGCGGGAAGTGCACGGTACGGACGGGGATGGCTGAATGCTCCGAGGTCAGACCCAGGAAGGTGGAAGCCGTGGAAGCTTCTTGCCCTGGAGACAGTCTGCTCAGAGAGGAGGCTCCCCCAGAGTCCTGACTGGCTTCGTATGGAGTCGTTCCAGAGCATCGCCACGGTGACTCCACGACACGGGGCCATGCTCCTACTAGCCCATTAGATAGGAGATGGGCCCTGGCAGGAACAGGGTCACCCAGCGCACCCCTCTCCTGGGGGCTGCTGTGTGCCCAGCTTGGGGACGTGTGCTCCTGGCAGGCCCCCGCTACACACCACGTCCAGCCCTGCTCACCCACTGGACTGGGGCGCGCTGCACGGCCCTGACCTCCCGGGCAGGACACGGGGGCATCAGCCTGAGCTCTGCCAGCCCTAACGGGCTCCCTTACCCTGGGCTACTCTGTCCCCACAGGGCCCAGGCACCGTGCCAGGCCTGCTGGGGGCAGGCCCAGTGCCCAGCCCTGCCCATACTGGGTGGACAGGCCCATGCTGCCCCCAGGGCTCTGGCTGCCGTTCCCCCCCCCAGAGCCAGGCCCTGGAGAATGTAAAGAGGAAGCGACCCTACCAAAATATACCCCTCCCCCCGGGCCCCGCGCGCCACTGCCCCACCCCAACCAGAGAAGGCGGGGCCCGTCACTGCTGGAGCTCGGGCCACGCCCCCCGGATAGAACGTCACTGCCCCGCCCCCTTGAGGAAGGCGGGAGGGCGGGCAGGCAAAAAAACTTTCTGAGTGCCCCGCCCCACTAGCGTGGCTGGCCAATCAGCACGCAGGAGCGGTTGTATGTCACTGACAACAGCACCAATAGAAGCGCGGTGCTGGAAGGCGGTGCACGTCACCATAGTACCGGCTCATTGCCGCATGCGCAGTCACCATCGCAGCCCGTGTCAGCGCCGCCGGATTCTGCCAGGCAGGCGCCGCTAGGTCCCTCCTAACGGTCTGTTCCCGCCGCGCATGCGCGCCGTAGCCCGGCCCCGCTCTGTCCCCAGGGGGTGGGGCAGCTGGTTACCTTGGTGCCGTCGCGGTAGTCGGGCATCGCACCCCGGCCCTCCTGCACCAGCCGCTTCACGATCCCGTCGGCCCGCAGCTGCGCTGCCTGATCCGCCATGATGGCTCCCGCACAGCGGCTTCTACCTACGCCGCCGACTCGGACAGCTCCGGGGCTTTCCGGAAGGGCTCGGCTACTTCCGGAACCGCTCGGCCATTCTCGGAACCGCTCGGCTTCAGCTGGCGGGCGCTCGGTTATTTCCGGAATGGCGCTCCTGGCGGCAGGAGGTCCGCGCTGCAGCGAACGGAAGAGCGCGGGGGAGGTGCTTAGCTTTGTTCACTCTGAAGCCTACTGACCACGGGACTCTGCCTTGTGCCCCCGACCCATGCTAGCCCTCCCCACCCATCTCACGCTACCAAGCCCACTGTCTTGCCCCCCACCCTGCCATGGGTCTGTGGGGATTAGGAGGCCTAGCTGGGGGCATTTTGCAAGATAGGAGCTTGCTACTACTGCTCCCAGCTAGAGGAGCTGGTAGTTGGCGAGCGAAGCCATGGGTTGGAGCCCTACCCAGGGAGAGGTTGTGCATAGTGGGAAGGGAGCTTGTGCCCAGGGCTTTGTACAGGATGGCAGAAGTCACTGCAGAATCACCTCTAAACTGTGACACACACCCACTGGATGTCCATGGGCTCCCCAGCAGTGAGGCAACTCTGCTGCTTTGCCCTATCTCTGCAAACCACAATTGGAGGATGTGACTGGGGTCTCAGGGGGCCAGGCTGCAAAGAATGGGGCAGATGAGCTCCAAAACTGGTGGTTATTCTAATAATTAGATTCACCAATCCAGCAACAAAACAGCTGCTACAATACCTTGCTGGTTACCCAGAAGCCAAAAACACAGTTCCTTTAAAGCAACCCAGCCTCCAGCACCCACCCAGACACCCAAGTCAAATATGATGAGGATTACTGAAAATCTTGTTCATCATAGAAAAAGTTCTACCAATCCCAAAGCATTGTACACATCACCCACCAGGTCAACAAATATTCCAGATCTTTCCCAAATACATGCGTACAGCCAATTCTTATTAACTAAACTAAGATTTATTAAAGAGAAGAGAGAGAGAACTGGTTAAAAATTTACTTTACATACAGGTATGACTAGAGTTCTTATGTCAGTTTCATAGTAGAGATGGTGAGCTTTAGAGTTGTAAAAAGTTCTTTCAGAATTAGTCCGTAGATTTCAGTCCCATGTCCAATATCAGGGCAATCCAGATAGGACTGGAGACTTCAGTCCTGTGACTCCAAATTCCACTGATGAAGCTTAAGCAGAGCTGAGATAACAGGATCAGGGCCCTAGGCGTTCTTTTTATAGTTGTCTGGCAGCCTCCTGACTGTGCCGTCCCTGGGTGAAGAATAGTGTCTTTGAACTAACCTATTTCCTAATATCGCCAATAATTAGCTACATGGATTAACAAGGCAACTGTCCATCTCCCACCATTTACAGGTTGCTTACTACATACTTTGAAGAGAAATGAAGGCAGTGATATACTACATTCACAGTTCATCTAAATGTTAACATCTCCTTTTGATCTCTGAATTAATGGAATACAGGGATAGGCGCCATTTGGTTACATTGTCAACCTCTAACAATATATATGTAAACACACAAAACCCACAATCAGTATCTACTAATATGTCTCTAAAGGTTTGTCGGAGAATAACAGAGTTCTCACTCTTTTGGTTGGGTACAGCAAAGTCAGATACTTTATTTTCTCTTGCAATTGCGTAGAGGGAGAGAGTGCACTAGGACACAGGGTCTCCCCCTCCTAGGCAGGTCTCTCCACAGGTCAACAATTACAGCAA